GAGAGCTACTGTGCCAGCCACGGCCTCCCACACCGCCCCGCGGCCCCGCCCGCGCCCCCGGGCCGCGCCCCCGCCCCCCATGCACCATCTCCTGGAGCAGTCCGCGGACATGGCGACAGCGTTGCTGGCCGGAGAGAAGCTGCGCGAGCTGATCCTGCCCGGCGCGCAGGACGACAAGGCGGGCGCGCTGGCGGCGCTGCTCCTGCAGCTCAAGCTCGAGCTGCCCTTCGACCGCGTGGTCACCATCGGCACCGTGCTCGTCCCCATCCTGCTGGTCACCCTGGTCTTCACCAAGAACTTCGCAGGTGAGGCCGGGGGCGCGTCCGCAGGTGTCGGGCGCCGGGCGCTCCCCGAGTCCCCACGCCGGCGTCCCGCCGCGGGCCACCCACTGGGGCCTGGCGGTATTGGCGGCGCCCCGGGGGTCTCCCAGCAGATCCTCAGCCACCACCCCCTCCCCCCGCATCGCTGCCTATGTCGCCAGCCGCCTGGGGCTGCCTCCGAGACCCCTCTCCTCCGATGTATTGTTTTTACTTTCCATGCGCTCACCGTGAGCCCTGGGTGGACGCATCCTGGACCCGGTGGGTCTCAGGCATAAATGAAACCCGGGGTCTGGCAGGAGAGACCAGGAGGGGGAGTGGGCCGGCTCTGAGGGGGTAGGAGTGGCCAGGTGGGGACGGGAGAAGGGCGTCACAGGTGATGAGAACGGTAACTGAAGCCAAAGGCTGTCAGAGCACCTGGCGCAGCCCTGCGGCCGGACTTGCCCCGAGGGTCCCTGAGACCCAGCCGGTTCTGGTCAGCTACAGGAGGAGGCCTTGCTCTGGGCGTGGGGAGCCCAGAAGGTTTGCAGGCAGGACGGGTGAGGCCAGGCTGAGCATCCACAGCGGTGCTGGGCAGCGGCCCCACCTGGCCAAGCAGGAGGCCCATGCAGGTGGAATAGGGCAGTGACAGGAACCAGCGCTGTGAGATGCTGAGGCCTTAAGTTGACAGACGTGGGGGCACCAGGAGGACCTCCTGACAAGTGACCCTGGGTGAGCCAGCCTGGGAGGCACTGGGGGCAAGCGGACAGAAGAGTGGGCTCCAGTACCATCCTTCCTGAGGAGCAGGGACAGGGTCGGGCAGGGAGAGGTAGGTGGGAGGCTGGAGGCAGAGAATGGCACCCCCCCACCCAGATGTGGTTGGCAAGGGGTCCAGGGAGGCCCCTCCGCAGTCCATTGGCCAGACTTGAGGGCCAGAGGTGCCCGTCCGTGGCGGAGGGTGTGGGTGTTCCTGTGCACCCCTCGAGGAGGGACAGGTGACTCTGTCCCCTGAGTGACATTGGCAGACATTCTTGCCTTCTGCATTGGTTCTTTCACAAAGGGCTCGATTTTTAGGGGTCCCCATGATCTGGGAACCCACCAGACCTGAGGGTGGACATGTTCGGGCCCACGTGATCCTGCTCTGAGACTGGGGGCCTCTGCGGTTTCTCTCTTTGGACACCGGTGCCCAGACGCTCTCTCAGGGACGGGGGTAGTGCACGTGCAGACGCAGGTGTGACCCACCAGTGTCGCTCAGGGCATCTAGGTGTATTGGGTTTCTAAGACGACTGTAACAAGCTTGGTGACTCAACTGTCATAGTCTGGAGACCAAAAGTCCAAAATCAGGGTGTGGGCAGGGCCTCTCGCCCAGAGGCTCCAGGGAGGGTCCCTTCTGGCTCTCCAGCTTCCGGGGCCTCCTCACCCCGTCCCTGCTCCTCTCCCTGGGCGTCTGTTCCAAATCCCCTCTTCTTACAAGGACATGGGTCATTGGGTTGGGGCCACCCTACTCCAGTGTGACCTTATCTGTTTTGTTTTGCTTTTTTAAGATTTGTTTATTTGAGAGAGAGAGTGAGTGCACGCGCAGCGAGGGGGGGTGGGAGAGGGAGAGAGAGCATCCCAAGCAGGCTCCCCGCTGAGTGCGGAGCCCAGGCACTTCACCAACTGAGCCTCCTGGGTGCCCCCAGTACGACCTTCTCAGGACCACAGTACAAACAAGGTCATATTCACAGGAACCAGGGGTTGGGACTTGAACATCTTTGGGGGGGACACAATTCTGCCCACTACGGACGCACACAGTGGGGCAGGCTCAGGACTGCCGTCCTCAGGTGACCCCCGCCCCCCCCCCGGGGACAGGGGCTCCATTCTCATGCTGTCCAGTGCGTCCAGCTCACCCCAAGTGGAGCCTCAGCACCGCTCCACGCCCAGCCAGGCTGGGGTCTCCCAAGTTCATTCTTCATCCCTGGTCCTGGTGGTGCCCTGGGACTTCCTGTGCAGGCCTGCCCCCCCGCCCCGTGCTGACCTGCATTTGCACGTGGACATGCCTGTGCCCACTTGGGCTCCTGAGCATGGACAAGGCAGACCTTCTGAGCGGTGGCAGACAGGCGCTGGACCCTGCTGCCCTGCATCCCGGGCCATGCAGCGCGTCCCGTGGAACATGCCCGCCTTTGGCACCTGGGTGTGCCCGAGGAAATCTTGTTCCAGGTCCCCGAACGCAGGGGGGCTGGCAAGAGCTGGTCAAGTGGGCTCTGGCCCCATTGCTGAGCGGGGTGCACCTGCCTTGGTCCCCTCACGGTCTGGGGGGGCTTCAGCAGCTGCTCTTGCTCACGTGGATTGGGGGTCAAGGCAGGACAGTGGCTGTGTCGGCCTGTAGAGTGGGATGTCTCCTGGTGCTTCACACAGAATGTGGACGAGCCCCGTGCCCCTCCCCAGGCCCGAGGACAGTAGGGGTGCAGGGGGAACCACGTGTCCACAAGCTGAACTGCCAGGAGAGGCCCTGCTGACACGTGGGGACGACTCAGGTGGGGCAGGGGTGCCAGAAGGAAGTGAGGTCACAAGCTCTAACCCTCAGAGGGCACTGGAGGCCCCTCCCCCCAGATCCCCCCACCCCCAGCGCTGTGTCTGCATCCATCCGTAGGCCCCAGCCCCGGGTACAGGGCCGGCACGTGTGCCAGAAGGATCCATGCCCCATCCGCGAGGAGCTGGCCTGGAGACGGGGGCTCGACACTCACCACCCCCCAGCCGACCCTGCCTGGGGTGGACGCCCAATGCCCGGGAGCTTGCTGCTTGGGGATCCCCTAGAGCAGGGGAGACCCGACTCTGCGCCCTGGTTTGCTTGTCAAGGACACGATGCTGGCCACACATGTTGGCCATGTCCAGGGTTGGGGTGAGGAGCTGACAAGGCAGCACTGGCTTCCTAGCCTAGAACCCCCCCAGTCTGGAGGGCCACAGACAGCAGGAAGGACCCCCGTGGCCCCTGGCCAGGCTTGCTGTGAGCAGACCCCCCTACTGCGCCGTGGACAGAGGGGGCCGGCCTTGTGGGGTCGCCAGGTTCCACAGATGTCCTTGGGCCACCGCACAGGGGAACTTCCAGCAGCGTTTTCTTAAATAGCTGGGCCCCACATCACCTGGGGGCCTCTCTAGCCTGGAGGGGCGCAGGTAACCCCAGAGTGCGTGCCCTTTTCGCAAAGGAGAGCGGGCAAGTGCTCGGCCCCAGGAGGACTGCTGAGCGTGGGCTTCAGGGCCTGTGCCACGTCCGGAGGGCCAGGGGAGCCAGCAAGGCTGACTGCTGTCTGGGGAGGGGAGGCCGCACGTCTCAGCGGCCAAGTCTCCCCGACCCTCGTCTGTGGCCTCTGAGGGCCTTGCCCTCCCTCGTGTATGGGGTCCCACCCCCTCGGCCCCCAGCACCGTGGGAGAACGTTTGTTCACACCACTGGGGGGGCACAGGGGGACAGGAAAGGGTCTCGGCAGAGGAGGCAGCCAGCCAGCAAGTGGCCAGCCACCACCTGCGTTAGCTTCCGGCTGATGCTCTAACGAGTGACCACAAACTTAGTGGCTTCAATGACACAAGTTTATGCTCTTAGAGCTCTGCAGCTCAGAAATCTGAAATGAGTTTTATGGGGCTAAAGTCTAGGGGTCAGCAGGGCCTCACTCCTTCTGGAGGCTCTGGGAGACTGTCGTCTGCCTTTTCCAGTTTCTAAAGACCCCACAGTCCTTGGCTTGTGGTCTGTCCTCCACCTTCAAGCCTGGCACAGTGGCATCTTCTCTGCTTTCATCCTCACACCCTTGACTCCGACCCTCCCGCCTCCCTCTTCTAAGGACCCCTACCCGATAATCCAGGGTCATCCTTCCCACCCCCGCCCCGAGCCCTAACCTAATCCCCCTTGCGGAGTCTTGTAAAGTTCTGGGTATTAGTACGTGACGCCTTTGGGAAAGGTCTGCGCCTCCCCTGGGAGGAGGTGGGGACCATGAGCCAGGTCTGGGGGTAGGATCCCACCAGCCAGAGGAGCAATGTGGGCAGCGCTGTAGGGGGGCCGCTGACCCCCAACCTGTGTGGTGAGAGGTCTCAAGCCGGCCTGGCAGCAGGGTGGCCAGTCCCTCGGGGCAGTGAACATGGGGGCCTAGTGCCGCACAAGGACAGCCCCATGCCTGCCAGGTGTTGCCCTTTGGAGAAATGTTCAAATGTAACAGCCCAGCAGGTGGACCCCAGCGTGGCTCCAGACATGTCCTTTTGGTGTTGTTTTGTGCCCGTCGTCATCTGGGAGGGAAAATAAAGTTCAGTGACAGCCTTTTTTCTGCAATTCAGGAGGTCTCCACCGTTCCCAGTGGCAGACACTGCCGTCCTGGTGAGTGTTCCTGCCAGAGTCCAGGTCACTGCCCGTGCCCACCCAGCGTCCAGGACTCCCAGCCTGCCCTTCTCCAGGACAGTGGGTCTGGGAGAGACACCCCATACCCCTCAGGGGCAGGCAGGGCCCACTTTTGTGCCACCATAACTGCCTCTGGCCAGGCAGGACGGTCCGGGCCATTCACCCTCCTAAAGATGGAGCCCCCGGCAGTGCAGCCCAGGGCCGGTAGCTGTGCTGAGGGGCCTGTCCTGCTGCCCTGTGGGATTGGGTTTCCCCCACGTGCACACAGACCCTATGCATACAGAGGGGGACCCCAGGTTTGAAGTGCAGGGCAGTCCCTGAGGGGCTGTACCCCCCACCCTGTGCCACAGGCAGCTGCTGAATGTGGGGGTCTCCAGGGTGAGCCCCCCAGCCACCGCGGCGGGTCGTAGGCGACCGGGGCATTTGTGCTGGGGAACAGCAGTCCCTGGCATGTCTGGCGCGTCCCCCCACCCCCGCGCCCCAGCCCGAGTCTCCTCTCTGCCCTCAGAGGAGCCCATTTACTGCTACACGCCGCACAACTTCACTCGCGACCAGGCGCTGTACGCTCGCGGCTACTGCTGGACGGAGCTGCGGGACGCGCTGCCCGGCGTGGACGCCAGCCTGTGGCCGTCGCTGTTTGAGCACAAGCTGCTGCCCTACTCGCTGCTGGCCTTCGCCGCCATCATGTACGTGCCCGCGCTGGGCTGGGAGTTCCTGGCCTCCACCCGCCTCACCTCCGAGCTCAACTTCCTGCTGCAGGAGATCGACAACTGCTACCACCGTGCGGCCGAAGGCCGCGCCCCCAAGATCGAAAAGCAGATCCAGTCCAAGGGGCCCGGCATCACGGAGCGCGAGCGGCGTGAGATAATCGAGAACGCCGAGAAGGAGAAGAGCCCCGAGCAGAACCTGTTCGAGAAGTACCTGGAGCGCCGCGGCCGCAGCAACTTCCTGGCCAAGCTGTACCTGGCGCGGCACCTGCTCATCCTGCTGCTCAGCGTGGCGCCCATCTCCTACCTGTGCACCTACTACGCCACCCAGAAGCAGAACGAGTTCACGTGCGCGCTGGGCGCGTCCCCAGACGGGCCGGCTGGCGGGGGCCCGGCCGTGCGCGTCAGCTGCAAGCTCCCGTCCGTGCAGCTGCAGCGCATCGTGGCAGGCGTGGACATCGTACTGCTGTGCGCCATGAACCTCGTCATCCTCGTCAACCTCATCCACCTGTTCATTTTCCGCAAGAGCAACTTCATCTTCGACAAGCTGCACAAGGTGGGCATCAAGACGCGCCGGCAGTGGCGCCGCTCCCAGTTCTGCGACATCAACATCCTGGCCATGTTCTGCAACGAGAACCGCGACCACATCAAGTCGCTCAACCGGCTGGACTTCATCACCAACGAGAGCGACCTCATGTACGACAACGTGGTGCGGCAGCTGCTGGCCGCGCTGGCCCAGTCCAACCACGACGCCACGCCCACCGTGCGCGACGCGGGCGTGCAGACCGTGGACCCCAGCGCCAACCCGGCCGAGCCCGACGGCGCCGCGGAGCCGCCCGTCGTCAAGCGGCCGCGCAAGAAGATGAAGTGGATCCCCAGCAGCAACCCGCTGCCGCAGCCCTTCAAGGAGCCACTGGCCATCATGCGCGTGGAGAACAGCAAGGCCGAGAAGCCCAAGCCCGTGCGCCGCAAGACGGCCACGGACACGCTGATCGCGCCGCTGCTGGACGCGGGCGCGCGCGCCGCGCACCACTACAAGGGCAGCGGGGGCGACGCGGGGCCCGCGCCCGACAAGAAGCATGCGCGCCACTTTTCCCTGGACGTGCACCCCTACATCCTGGGCACCAAGAAGGCCAAGCCCGAGGCCGTGCCCGCCGCCGCCCTGCCCGCCTCCCGGAGCCAGGAAGGGGGTTTCCTGTCCCAGGCGGAGGAGTGTGCGCTGGGCTTGGCCGCAGCACCCACCAAAGGTAGGCGGCTGGGGACCCTCGGCCCCAGGGAAGGACGCCCCCCCCCACCCCGCCCCACGCACCGTCCGCCGCAGACCAGGCATCTGGGAACCGTGTGCGGGGGTGAAGCAGCTAGCGGAAAGAAGGGGGTGGGCAGCCAGGGGGCCGACCTTAGGGCAGAAGGCAGGCAGGCCATGAGGGGCCCTGCCCGGCACACAGGAGGAACGCTAGCAGGAGAGCCCAGGGGGATATGAGAGTAGGTTGTTCAGGCTCTAGAGAAGGTTCTGGAAACGGGCCCTGCTGCTCCTGAGGCAGTGCGAGATTCCGCCCAAGCAGGCCGCCCAAGCAGGCCGGAGTGTGCAGAGAGGGTCTTGGGCGGCCCCACATGGCTAAGGAGGCAGGAGGAGGGAGAATCAAGCCCTCCCCGGGGCCTCGGGGGGGCCTCCGACGGAGCGGGGCCCTCGGTGACCAGTCTCTGCCCGGCGGGGTCTGAGAGGGGCAGCAGCGGTGGAGGGGCGGGCGGCCCGCAGGCTGTGACCTGCCCGTGTTCTCGGCTGTTTGCAGATGCTCCGCTCCCTGACAAGGAGATCCTGTACCCAGCAGAGCCAGCCCGGGCCACGCTTCCTTCCGGGGGCCCGTTTCACGTCCGCTCGCCCCCAGCAGCCTCCGCCACAGCCCCTCTGTCCCCAGCCACTCTGGGCAAAGCTGACCCGCTCGCGATCCTGAGCCGCAATGCCACACACCCGCTGCTGCACATCAGCACGCTGTATGAAGCCCGGGAAGAGGAGGACGGGGGTCCCCGGGCTCCCCCAGACGTGGGCAGCCTCATCGCCATCCCGCCCCCCCAGCAGATCCTCATCGCCACCTTTGACGAGCCGAGGACAGTAGTGAGTACCGTGGAGTTCTGAGGAACAGGGCTGCCCGGGCCATTACAGAGCCCTCCGCATGACCGAGGAGTGCCGCGGACCCCAGCCCCACGGGGATGTGGTCTCTGCTTCACCCAGCACTGCCCGCACCTCCTGGCCTCCTGTCCGCATGCCCTGGGGCTGAGACCTGGCCCACCCGCCCCCCAAGACAGCATCGTTGGGGTGCTGGCTGGGCCAGGGGCTGGCCTTGACCCCAGCGGAGCCCCCAGCCAGAAAGGCCTGGAGCCACCCCCACCCCCACCCCCCATCCCTGCATCAGGCACTCGGCTGTGAGGTGAAGAGTTTATTTTTTTAGTCGATTTTGTCTTGGGCCCAGGCTAAGGCAGGACAACTCTGGTCCTGAGCCTGGAAGGAAGCTGGGGGTGATCACACCACCAGGCCTGGCTATGCCCAAGGGGCCGTGCTCAGGGCTCCCTCCTGCAGTGGGAGGTGCCGGGGTCCACCCTCCATCAGATCAACATGCACTTTCTCCTTGTATCCCGACATACCTGTACTTTATTTTACTATGATTACTGTAACTACTGAGCGTACATGATCAGGAGACTGGACGGTGTGCGAGTGGATGTGTGCGTGAGTGGGCACGGAGCTGAGTTGGTGTGGACGCCGGCGTGCAAGGGAAGGAGTCCAACGCAATAACCACGTCCCCCCACCCAGGCCACCAGCCCCCACCCAAGGACCCACGCTGCTTCCCGTGGGGACCCAGGGCCGGCGCTCGGAGGGTCTGTCCCTATTACCTCAGCCACGGTGACAACGTGACAGTATTAACAAGGTAGCACCGAGCAGATCAATAAATATTATTCTGATACCGCCTGAGTCCCGTGTGGTCCACCCTGCAGGAGACCTGTGCTCTGACTGGGCTTGCCGCGTCTGGGCCAGCTGCCCTCCACCCACCATCGTCACAAGGGGATGCTGCCCCCCAGGCCACCTTGGGGGCCCGGCTGCGCCCACCGTGAGGCAGGAGCACATGGTGGTCACTTGCCATTGACCTTCCATGACCTCTGACTGACAGGCATGCTCTCCAGGCCTCGGGGGTAGTTCAGGTGAGCCCTGCCCTCCCTGGGCTCACAGGCTCAGCAGAGGCAAAGGCAGGAGCCCCCAGAAGGCTGTCCCCTCCATCAGATGCTTGGGGACAGGGGACTGTTGGGTACACTTAGGGGGAACAGGGAGAGCCACAAAATCTTCCCGGAAGAGGTCCCCTTGATACTGCTGGGGGTGCCCCTCATGTTCCAGGGACCCAGGGCAGGGGGCCCTCCTCACTGGGCCCACGACTCAGGTGGGATGAGCCTAGTCTTACGGGTACACCATGGACCCACGTGCCCTTCGGTCCATGGCTGGGGACCCCGAGAATCTGAACAGAGGCTCCTTGGAGCCAGGTAGCTGAGGCAGCCAGGCCAGAAACCTGCGGGCCCTAGAGCGAGGGGCCGGGGGGGCCCGGCTGAGACCGGTGTGAGCCCACTTGCTGTGCTGCCCAGAGACCTGCCCGGCCCGGCCCCTGGAATCCCCGGGGCAGCCTTGAGCTGGGCAGGCTGAGCTTCCCTGGCGCTGGCTCATCACACAGGGACACAGACAAGGGACTGCATCCCTCCGTGGATTTTAAGTGTGGTTTTATCATCACTCAGGTCTGCTGAGGCCTGCGACCAGCAGACAGCCGCCATCGGGAAGACAGCTTCCCCCAGGAGGAGGGGGCACGCCGTGCCCAGGCTGGGGGCCGCTGGGGGAAGCACCAGCAGGCAGAGCGGGAGGGGGACAAGGGCAGGAGCCATTCCTGTGGTTTCCGCAGGAAGGAACGGACAAGGCAGGTGAACAGGCTTAGGACTGGCCTGTGTGAATACCGACCACGGGTTCACCCGGGCTCACCTGGCTGGTGGGCACCTGCCCTGGGTGGTGGGAGCAGGTGAGAGAGGCCCCGAGGGTGGGGGCCCCACAGAGGGGGTGGTGGGCCGGGGCCCTGGGTCAGCTGGTTTGTACATGGGAGTTTGTGGTTTCTAGGAATTAGTCCTGGGAGGGGCCGACCTTCCAGGGTCAACTTGGCCCAATGTCAAAATATCAGAAAATGAAAAGGCATTGTGAATACACCCTGTCCCCAGAGAGCACTCGGCCTCACCTGAGCCAGGACACTTCCCGCCCAGCATCCCAGGCTGTGAAGCCCACTGCCCCTTGGGTTGGCACTCACCATTTCCACGTGTCCAGGGAAGGGACCCCACATGCCCACAGGACCAGCTCTGCAGAGTGGGGACAAGCCCCTGGTCCCTCAGCAGCTCCCCCCTACCTTGGTCCGCACCATCAACCGGCTCCACGACCCTGTGAGCAGGGTAGCTGTGCCCACCTGGGGGGCTCAAGTCCGCAGCTCTTGCCACGCCCCCACCCCCAGCTGCCCGCCATTCCCTGAGTGTGGCTGGAGTCCAGTCCAGCCTCCCCAGCCATCCACGGCCACACTCACCTGCCCACCCTACCCATCCACGTGCAGAGCTCAGCTGGGCCCTGCACCGGTCATCCCTGCCCCTGCCCCGGTGGCTGCACTCAAAGTGGGGATGGCCCCAGAGCCCCGCAGAGGCGTTCGCTGCCTGGGCCAGGCAGCAGGCCGGTCTCGTGCACCCTCGCCCTGCCAGTGAGCACCAGTACCGCGGGCTGAGCGATGTTCACACACACACGTCTGCGTACGGTTAGCGCACGCCTGCCGAGGAGGCCCCCAGCGCAGCCACCTCCATGTCTTTGAGGAGACTGCTCTGTCAGGCTCTCAGCCACCTGTCCCCGGGGCCAACGCCCAGCGGGACACTGCGGAGCAAGTCTCATCCCGCAGAGGTCCGTCCTTCGGAGCGCACGCAGTGCCGTCAGCGTGAGCTGAACCCTTGCCCTGGTTTGCTGGGGCAGAGAAGAGCCCAAGTCACCATCCCGTCGAAGCCAAGCTCTCCCTGCAGGTGCCGAGGGCCGCCATCCGGCCCCGCTCTTGCAGGAGGGCACCCCATCAGCTCTAGTGTTGGTCTGAAGCCCCCGCCCACCTCTCATCTCCTCACCCCTGCCCTGTAGCCAGGGCACTGCAGCGGCCGGGGGCAACTGGCCCCGCCTCAGAAAAGAGGAGGCTCCCACACAGGCAAGACTGGAACCCAGGCCTCTTCCTGGCACGCCGGCACAGCATGGGCCTCGCAGCCAGACTCGCGCCAGGCCCCACCACACGCTGCCTGGCGCACAGTGCCTGCTCCTGAGAAGGCGGTGAAGGTGGCTGGGACGCAGAAACGACCTGAGCCGGCGCAGAGGGACGGAACAGTAACTGGACAGGAGGAGCACGTACCAAGGAGGACAGAGGCCTCCCTGAGGCCAGCCGGGCCCTTCGGGGACCAAGAAGCCGTAGGAGGGAGGTGGGCGGCAAGCCTGCCCCAGAAGCGTCAGCCTGGAGTCTCCAGTATACAGAGCTCAGCGGGCGAACAGCCCAGCCTGGTACCAAGAGTGGCCGGGGGGTTCTCTCTCACATCAGCTGGACCCCAGGACTACCCCACCGAAGAACACGGGAACCTGTGACCCCTACAAGTCACCAATGCCAGGGCCTTTCTTCCTGGAACCTGAGGGGCGGCCCAGTGCCCAGCTCCGAGCGCTGGTGGATTGGCCCAGCAGGTCCAGGCCCAGTGGGGGCTGGACTGGACTGTGCCCTCACTCCCAGGTGGCTCCAGAGTGAAGGGCAGGCAGCCTGCTCCAGCTACTGAGGCCCCCAGCCAGCCAGTCGTCCCACGGCCCTGAGCTGGACACAAGCTTCAGTGGAGCTAGCTGACTGGGGGTCCGCGTGTGGCCAGCAGGCAAGCCGTCCCCACATCCACCAGCTGCAGGGTGCCCAGCCCCAGAACCACCCTGCGAGAATGGAGGAGGGCCCAGGCGAGGGCAGCAGGCCCCAGGCCCGCTCCAGGGCCCAGGCAGTGGGGGTGGGCGGCCGGGGGCGCTCCACGTGGGGAGAAGAGGGCGGTAGCCTCGGGACACCCTACTGGGAGTCCGCCTCCCACCCCCCACCGCCCACGTGACCAAATGGGGACGATGAGGGGCCAGAGACACGGCGGTTGGGGCCCCTCCGCGGCAGTGGGTCTGTGGCTCCAGGCTCGCCGGGGTCCGCCCGATCTGAGACCGCCCATTAAACACCCCTCCGGGGCTTGGGGTCCAGGTCTCAGCCTGGTGGGCAGCAGGACCCCTGGCGCCTGCCCTCCCAGGGCACTCCACCCACCAAGTCGAGGGATGGCCCGGTCGCCGGCGCGCGGGAGTCTAGGCACCCCCAACCCAGGTAGAGGCACGTGGGCTTGCTCCACACCCCGAGTTTTTTGCTCCTCCCATCCCGCTATAGGCTGCCCCTTGGGCGATTGACACAAAGTCTCTCCGTTGACATCGCGGGAACGTCATCCCTTTTACAGACTGGGAGCTGCGGTCAGAGAACTTAAGAGTGCTCTGCAAGGCCGTCGGGCTCCCCCACAGGCCCGGGGACTCGAACTCACGTCTCCAGAATCTCCTTCTTCCTAGAACCAGAGGCGCCGGGGTCGGAGTGGAGCGGGGTGGGGCGGGGCTTTTCGTGCGCGGCCCCCTGGGAAGTGTAGTCCTCGGGCCCTCGCGCACGGCTCCTGGGAAGTGTAGTCCGCGGGCGCTCGCGCGCGGATCCCTGGGAAGTGTAGTCCGGCGGCGCGGACCGAGCGCGCCGACGGAGCGGACGGGCGGCGCGTGGAACTGCGCTTCCCGGCATGCCGCGCGCCGCCCGCCCCCGGCCCCGGCCCGTCCGGCCGCTCCGCCCCCGGTCCCGGCCCCGGTCCGCCCCGTCCGGTGGGGCGACTAGCCGCATGGAGGCCGGTTGAGGAGCGCCGCCCCGCCTCGGTACGCTGCGCGGCGCGGGCCCCGGCTGACGGGCAGGGGTCGGGGTCGAGTCGGGGTCGGGGACGGGGGCCACCTCGCTCTGGACCGGGCCCAGTGCAGCCCCTAGCGCGGGGTCTGGGGCTGGAAGGGTCAGCCCAGGCCTGTAAAGAGGGCGCGCGGGGCCGGGCCGGCGGCCAGGGCTCGAGGCGGGGGGGGGGGGGGGAGAGGGCCGGGGGGCGGGGGGGGGGGGGGCCGGGGGCCGCGGGCCTCTCCCGGCGGAGGCCCCGGGCCCTGCCCTTCAAGCCGAGCGAGTAGGGCTGCCGTGTGGCAGAGCGGGCGGAGGTGTCCCTCTGTGCGCGCAGCCGAACTTCGGCGGCCTGCAACAGTCTCCACTTTGTTTCCGTGGGGCAGTCGTGTGGAGGTGTAACTTCTGTGCCGCGAGGTGCCGGTTTGAGAGCCCGTAAAACTCTCCCCGAGAGGCAAGGCCGCCTTGGTATCGGCCTCTCGGAAACACCTAGGGCTCCGCTCTCGAGTGCTTGCCACCTTTGGGCATCAGGACAGCTTCGTTAGGAGGACGGGTGGTTTCCAGGTGGAGTCCCACTGGCGTTTGGGGTGCCCCGGAGAGGGGGACGAGCGGCCGCCAGGCTCTCCGCGCTCCTGGGCGGGCTCGGCTCCCTCTGGGTCTCTTGCCGCCCACCCCCTTGCGGCATGACTGGAAGGGAGCCTTGACTCTGGGACCGCTGGTCGGTCTTACAGAACGGCCGTGATGCTCTGGTGTCCGAGGCTCTGCCAGGAGAGAGCCTGGTAGGGTGAGTAGCCAGACCCCTGCACAGCGCCTCCCAGTGCTGGTCAGTGTGGGGGCCTGGCGATGCGCAGCGTCCAGGCTCCAGGAGGGTCAGTCAGGTGTGCTGGGAAAGGGGCCACTCAGGCCTCCAGCTCAGATACAAGTGGGCGTGTGTGCTCTATCCCAATCCCAAACTTTGCCACGCCTCCACAAAGCAGGTGCTGCCAGTCTCAGGGGGGTCTCAAGTGGCCAGGGGTGCCCAGGCTTAAGAAGTGGGGGCATTGGGGAGGTCAGAGCTTTGGCCACATCCTGCCATCTCCCAGCTGGACGTTTATTTCTGTAGCCCACTGGTCTGTCCAGATTGGGACCTCTGAGTTTCTGAGCAAGCCTAGTGGGTTGGTTGGGAGATGCGGGCTTTTCTGGGAACTCCATTTGGTGCTGGTCAGGTCTTGGCCACGCTGAGAAGCCAGTCTGGGATCCGGGAGGCAGTTTGTGGCTTTCCAGTTTTTTGAAGGGCGAGGGGGGCAGAGATGGGTGTCTCAGCTTGCTCTGCAGCCATAACAAACGGCAGAGATGGGGCTTAAATAGCAGATTTTTTTCACAACTCTGGAGGCTGGAAGTCCGAGATCAAGGGTGGTTGCTGATGAGGGTTTTTCCTTCCTGGCTTGCTGATGGCTGTCTTCCCACTGTGTTCTCACACAGCCAGATCTCTGGTGTCTCTTCTCAGAAGGGCCCTAATACCATCATGAGGCTCCACCCTCATGACTTCACAGTAACCTTAGGCACCTCCCGAAGGCCCCACCTCCAAACACCATCACCCTGGGGATTAGGGCTTCAGTATATGAATTTTGGGGGACGCACTTCAGTGCATAGCAATGGGACCCTCCCCTGCCTGGGCTGGGCAAGCAGGAACCTGGGTCTGCCACTCCCACTGAACTGTCTGATGTCCTCTGCTTCTGTCCTGACATGGACACCCAGCAAAACATTATCAGACGCTAACAACATCCTCCAGGGCAGAACAACTTAACGTGTTACTCTGATTTGTATCTCAGGGCTGTACACCCCAGGTGGGTCCCTAGTGCAAGTGGGGCTTTTCCTGTCCTTTGAGCAGGTACTTTTCTTGGAGTACTGGGGAGGGTGGGTCCTCCTGGGGCTGTTGGGAATTCCCACCACTTTGGAGTTGGTTTTCCTGAAAGCTTGTGGTGATTCTGCTGCTGTCCTCTGTGTGCAGCATTATGATTTCCAGAGCCAGATCATGGTGTATCCCTCTACAGATAAGGAGACAGCCAGAGAAGACTCATGTTCTATTGTCCCCTGAAATCAGACTGCTGGTTCTTTTGTGCCCCATGGGGTTTGCTCCTGCCCACACAGGAGGAAGCCCACAGAGGTCTATAGGTCATGAGCTGAAGTGAAATCTGCGTGTGGCACACGTCTTTAGCTGGGAGAGGGCCTACTGTGTGCAGACAGATGGGACGTCTGGGTGATAGCTCTAACCACCTCCATCCTAGAGGCAGGAGCTAAGAGTCCCAGCAGGTTGGGAGAGTCCTGCCCGGGGCCGTGCAGCACCAAGTGGCTGGTCTGAGATCTGGCCAAACCCAGGCCATCCCCTGCAGTACAGTTGAGGCATCTGCCCACAGGTCATCTCGGTGGACAACCCTGCTTGGCAGTGACAGCTGGTCAGGGGGAGTGGGTAGCCACTGCATCTGGCAGAAGGCTCTTCCTGCTTTGTGCCAGGTTCCAGAGGCCCCCAGCACTGGTGGCTGGACCGTGGCTCAGTAGCAGGGCTACACACTGGGCTATGGATTTAGGAAGGGACACATTTGTCTCCCCTCGAGGATGTCAGCCAGGGCTCTGCTTGTCACTGCAGTGGTGTAAGGAACTGCTGGGACCTCTAGATCCAGAGAATGTGTGGCAGGAAACTAGGAGGGATGTGGACGCTCCCCGGCAGCCACTGGTGGGTGCAGAGAGGTGGGGCCTGGGCTTGGAGGTCTGTGGGGGCCTTTGCTTCCCTCCTGGCAGCTGGGAAAGGCTCAGGCCCCAGCCATAAATATTTGAAATTTACAACCCACTGAAATGACATTCTACAAGGGTATTGCCAGGGGACCCACCTCTGAGGTTGAGAGAAACCAGGGTATTGGAAAGTGTGTGGATGCAGCAGCATCAGAGAAGGAGGTTTCTCAGAATCACGGACTCAGAGCTGAAGGGGTCTCAGTGGCCTTCCTGCCTGACTAGACCAGGCACCCATCTCTGGGGAGCAGCTGCGGGGAGTGGGACAGAGAGCTCCAGGGGACCCGGGTCCTGGCACTTAACAGGCTCAGGGCTGGGCTTTAGGCCTGACAGGCTCGTCTGCCACCCACATACCCCCAGCCCACAGGAGGCAGGACTCAGAAAGGGCACACCCGGAAAGGTGCCCCCAGCCTCTGCACGGTGGGGCCGGCCTGTCCCCTGTGGGTACAGGCTTCCTCCTGGGCTTCAGAGGGTGGGTCTGGCCACACTGCCCCAGGGCGGGTGAGGGCTGCCAAGCCCCAGGCCTGCCCCCACCACACCCGTGGGAGGGAAGGCTGTGGCAACAGCGACAACGTGGTGACCTCAGATTTGCTGGTTGTTGACGGGAGCCTCCCTGCCAGAGCACAGGATGTTTTCTTAAGAAGTTTTTCTGGTACTTTGGCAGCCTTGTGCTGCTTAGAAGTAAGAACTGTTTGCTTTTTTTGTGTAAAGCTGGACTAAGGACCGGCATCTCCACCTGCCCCCCTGGGCCAGCTCAGGGGCCTGGAGAGGGGCAGGCCCAGCTCCCCTGACCATTCAGCCCTGCCCTCCAGCTTCAGACGCCGCTTCCTGTTTGTACTTAGTTGGCATCTTGCATTGGTGGAGTGCTTTAATCTGTGAAGCGGGAAGACGGGGCTTTGGGGATCCTGGACAGGAGGTCCTCCGGGAGGAGTGCTTAGAAGGCCGGGCCTTCTTTCCCCTCCCCAGCCACCCTTCTCTGCTGGCCAACCTCCCACCAGGGCCTAGCTGCTTCCTTTGGCCCTAAGCCAGTTCCTCTTTCTGACCCTTACTGTGACTGTATTTCTTTCAGAAACCTGGCCATCCTCAGGATGGGCTGCCCACCCCACCCCGGTCAGCTCCGAGGCCTGTCCGAATGTCCCTGGACACCAGATCAGGCGTTTGGTTAAACCGGGAGGGAGCCCCGCTCCATCTCTGAGCTGCCTGCGCAGGTGGCGGGTCCCTCCTGCTGCTGAGGGGGACACGGGCTCAGGGGGAAGCAGGGAGTTGCTGGCTCACTGCCCCTTGTGATTGCGGTGCTCAGAGGGGAAGTGAACCTGACGCAGTGCCTTACTTTACCATGTGCTCTTCCTTCTCTTGTGAAACGTTGAGAAGTGTGGTGTGAGGGTGGGACTGGAGTGAGGCCCGCGAGCATTGCACAGCCCCCGGGGCCGCGGAGCTCCGGTGGGCGCTCCCCACAGCACCGCTCCGCGCCCTTCCATCCCCTGGTGCACGTGGGACAGAGGCAGGCTCCAGAGCCAAACACGGTACCGCACCACAGCTTCCAACCAGTTGGAGTGACGGCCTGCAGTCACGAGTCAGACTTCTCCAGGGGCTCCTCCTTTCAAGCTGCTTTCCCCCGCTGTGCTGGCCACCCCTGCACTCAGACTCGGGGCTGAGTTTTCCCGTGGCATCTTGGGGAAGCATGGGTGAAGTCTGCGTTGTCGGTGCTGCCGGCCCTTCCCGTGTCCAGAATCCCACGGCCTGACACAGGCCTCGGGCTCCTGATTCCCCTTGGCCCTGGAGGTCTGAACGGTCCGTTGTCTTTGGCAGTTGTCTGTCCCTGGTGACACAGAGGACCCCCAGTTCACCGGCTGGGGCAAAGCCAGGCATCCCCAGCCCTGTTCTTAGCCCCGTGGTGCAGGGTTTACAGGTCCCACACCTACCGTGCCCGGTCACAAGGGACCCTGGACCTCCATAACTGGTGGCGGACAGGTGACGATCTATCTGGAAATGCAGAGCCTGTGATCCCGCCCACGGATCTTTCAAAACAGACTGAGCACTGGGCACGGCCCTGGGGTTCCAGGTGCGAACATGGCTCCTCTGTCTCCTCAGGCTTCACTCATCGGTGCCAGGAGCCGCCACCCAGCCATGGAGGGGGAGGAGGAGCAGGGCCAGCCACCTCAGGAGGTCAGAGGCCTGGGCCAGATGCTGGGGTGTGGGGGGCCTGCTTCTTGTACGACCTTGGGCTCAGGGTCCAGCCAGCTGGTCAGCAGAGTGTGGGTCCCCCCTCCGTGTGGCCGCCTGGGATCACTCTGGCTGCTTCTATAGGAGAGCTTTGTGTGGTTTTCCTGACCAGAGGGTCAGCCAAGGGGGACCTTGGGGCAGGGAGCCCTGGGGGTGGGCTGCACACAAGGCAATGATCACAGAGAGGCTTTGAATGCTGGGGAGCATGTGGAGTTGATGGAGCAGTAGCCCAAGTCCTAGGTGGGCCCCACTGGGGACAAGTGGGTGCCCTGAGCCCAGGCAGGCCCCAGGGAGGGTGGGCACCCCGACTCACACATTCCCTTCCCTCTGCAGGCCGACATGGAACCTGTTGTGGGGGCTTCAGAGGTGGTGCCCAGGGTGCTTTCTGGAGAATCCCAGAACCTGTGTGCGTGCTCCCTGAAATCATTCAGGGCTGGGGGGCAGGGGCAGCTCCCTGGCAGAAGGGGCTCGGACTGGGTGATCTGAGTCTGGCGACCAGCGGCCCGGGCCAGCCCCGGGTTGTTGGGGAGGAGGCTCTGGAGCATAGGCAGGGTTGGTGGAGCTCCATCAGGAGCCCCTTCCCTGGGGTGGGGGGCTGAGTGCTTCAGAGACGCCGTGGAGGCTGTGACGGCTGGGGGCTCCCCCTCGTGGAGGATGCAGAGCTTCCCGAGGCCCAGGACCCTTTCCACAGGGAGGGTCTTGTCAGACGGTGCTGAGCCCAGCTGCACTCCGTAGTGAGCAGGGACCGGCTCGTCACAGCTGGGAGGGACCCCCGTGGGCGGTGCTGCTTGGGGGCGCGTGCCCCTGTGTGCATCTGGGCCCCGGGTGTGGCTCGGCCTGAGAGCCGGGAGCCCAGGCCACCGGTGTGCACGGCACCCCAGCTGAGCTGCTGTCCTTGCAGCCGACGCGGACGCGCTGACCCTGCTCCTGGAGATGAAGCTGAGGAGGCGACGAGAGCGGCCCAGCCTGCCGCGCACAGTGACCGAGCTGGTGGCTGAGGACGGGAGCCGGGTGTACGTGGTGGGCACCGCCCACTTCAGTGACGACAGCAAGAAGGACGTGGTGAAGGTGAGGCCCGTCACGCGGGGCCGAGCGGCCCCGTCCCGTGAGCTGCCGCCCTCCTGCATGAGTCCAGTGCCCCTCAGAAAAGGGGTTTCTGAGGCCACGGAGCCCTCGTGGCCTTGTGCACTTTTCTGTTGTGTTGCTTTCTCTCAGTCACTTAAATGAGTTGTTGCCACGGCAGCTGAGGTGGCCCCCTGGGGATGGGCCTCTCGGTCGGTCCCAGCGTGGCCTCCACCTGCAGGGTCAGGGTCCACGCTGGGGGCGGGCGCCGGGCTGAGCCGGCTTATCCGTTGCAGACCATCCGGGTCAGGGTCCACGCTGGGGGCAGGCGCCAGGCTGAGCCAGCTCGTCCGTTGCAGACCATCTGGGTCACAGTCTGCGCTGGGGGCTGAGCCGGCTCGTCCGTTGCAGACCATCAGGGTCCAGGTCAGGGTCCGTGCTGGGGGCAGGCACCGGGCTGAGCTGGCTCGTCCGTTGCAGACCGTCAGGGTCCGGGTCAGGGTCCTTGCTGGGGGCTGAGCAGGCTCGTGTGTTGCAGACCATCAGGGACAGGGTCAGTGCTGGGGGGTGAGCTGGCTCGTCCGTTGCAGACCATCCGGGAGGTGCAGCCCGACGTGGTGGTGGTGGAGCTCTGCCAATACCGTGTGTCCATGCTGAAGATGGACGAGAGCACGCTGCTGCAGGAGGCCAAGGAGCTCAGCCTGGAGAAGCTGCAGCAAGCCGTGAGGCAGGTGCGGTGTCGGGCGGGCGCGGGCTGTGCGCCCCTCCCCAGGCAGCCACGCTCCCTGCTCTGCCCACCTGTGAGCACACGGCCTTCCAGGCAGTGTGGAGGTGCCCAGCCCGCCCTGGGGCCCTGGCCTGGGGCGGGAGAGGGGCATATGCCTTTATTGGGTTTCAGACAAGGCAGGTAAGGTGGGTGAGCTTCAACCCCCAGGGAAGACCTGGACAGGGACCCCAGGGAGCTCGGCAAAGGGGAAAGGGGGGGTCCAGAGTCCCCGCCAGCCCAGCACAACATATGCCCCTCGGGGGGACGTGGGCAGAGGAGCTGGGGTCTGGGCTGGAGGGGCAGGAGGGAAGGGGCATCCACTGTGGATGTGGCCGCCTGTCCACGGCCTTTGCTCAGTCCCAGAACACAGGCAAGGCCTCCCCTCACGTTTGAGGAAGCCTGTGCTCAGCGCCCACATGGCCGCTGACTGTCGGCTCTCTCCCCTGCAGAACGGCGTCATGTCCGGACTCATGCAGATGTTGCTGCTGAAAGTGTCGGCCCACATCACCGAGCAGCTGGGCATGGCTCCTGGTGGCGAGTTCAGGGAGGCCTTCAAGGAGGTGGGCCTGGGTTCAGCCAGGAAGGGGGCTCAGTGCCTGGGCAGCCGCCCGGGGCTCAGGCTTCCCCAGCCAACACCCAGCCTCTGCCCCAGGCCAGCAAGGTGCCTTTCTGCAAGTTCCACCTGGGCGACCGGCCCATCCCCGTCACCTTCAAGAGGGCCATCGCGGCGCTGTCCTTCTGGCAGAAAGTGAAGCTGGCCTGGGGCCTGTGCTTCCTGTCAGACCCCATCAGGTAGGGCCCCTCAGCCTCCCGCGGGCAGCCCCACCCCGGAAGAGCGGCCCGGGGCCCGCCGTGCGACACAGCCCCCTTGTTCTTGGGCTAAGCCTCCTCAAACAAGGCCTTCCCACCCCTTCCTTCCGCCGTGAGCCCAAACACAAAGGGTGCGGAGGTCCCTGCCCTGGGTCAATAGCACCAGCCTCCTGCTGGCCGCCCCATCCCCACGAGGCTGGCAGCGTGCCCTCTGCCCCCAGCAAGGATGACGTGGAGCGCTGCAAGCAGAAGGACCTGCTGGAGCAGATGATGGCGGAGATGATCGGCGAGTTTCCCGACCTGCACCGCACCATCGTCTCAGAGCGTGACGTCTACCTGACCTACATGCTGAGGCAGGCCGCCCGGCGCCTCGAGCTGCCGCGCTCCTCCGATGGTGACCGCGACGGCCGGCCCGGGAGGGGGCTCTCCGGGCACTGGCACCACCAGGCCGCTGCTGACGCGTCGCTTCCCCCACAGCTGAGCCCAGGAAGTGCGTCCCCTCCGTCGTGGTGGGTGTCGTGGGCATGGGCCACGTCCCGGGCATCGAGAAGAACTGGACCACAGACCTCAACATCCAGGAGATCATGACGTGAGTACCGCCTGCCCACGCACGCCACGCTGTCCCGCAGCACAGAGTGGGGCCTGGGGAGGGGGCGGCAGCCATGCTGGGGCTGGGGGCGCACGTGCCCCCCCACCCTGAGCCAGGCCCAGCCCGCCCTCCCTTCCCCAGCGTGCCCCCGCCGTCCATCCCCGGCAGAGTGTCCCGGCTGGCCGTGAAGGCTGCCTTCTTGGGCCTGCTGGGCTACGGCCTCTACTGGATGGGACGCCGCGCCACCAGCCTGGTCCTGTCACTGCCTGTCACTCAGTACTGTCTGCAGAGGGCATCCACGGCCCGGCCGCACAAATAGGAAGGACGAGCACCGCGCTGGCGGCTCCCGAGTTGCAGCAGCTGAGAGGCGCTGGGGCCGGCCCCCCCCCCCACCCCGAGGAGCTCTGGGCGCCACCCCCCGTGGGGGTCCAGGCCCAGCCACGCCTGCCCTCCCCCAACCCGCCCAAATAAAGAATTATTTAACTGCTCTGAGCTCAGGCTTCCCAGCAGCCCTGCCCCCACCCCGTCCCCAGCCCTGCAGGGACCACTCCTGGGGTTCACGGGGTTCACGGGCATCAGGACGAGCTGGTGGGAGAGGGGCCGAGGTGGGCGCGGCCAGCCCTCCCCTACCTCACTGTGCCTTGTCATGCGCGGGCGGCGGAGCCCCCGGCCCGGGAGCGACTCAACGGTGGGTTCTGGGCTGCGGGGTTCCCGCCGGCACGTGTGGGAGGGGCCGGAGCAGCCCTCGAGTGGCTCCGGGGAGCCCACCTCCCGACGGGGCAGCTGGGCTGAGCTTGGTAGCCGCTTTCCTTGCAGAGGTGGTGTGGTTTTGGCTTTTAAAAATGTCTGAATTTTTTTTACTCAGGTAATTTTAACTTAAGACAAACTGAAGCCAATGTCAGGAAATACTAGCCTTAAATCTGATTGGGACAAAGAGGGTGTGTTGGTGGTGGGGGGTGGGGGGCACTCAGCTCTGAGCCGGCGAGCCTGGGGGAAGGGTTGGCTTTAGCAGCGGGGCCCGGCCGGCCTCCGGACGCTGCCCCCCCCCCCGCTGCCCCCCCGGGCAGCCCCTGGCTGGGGGGTGTCCAGGGCTGCAGCCCCCCCCGCCAGGCCTGAGCCTCCCCCTGGCCATGGAGGATCGTACCTGCTCCCCGTGCCGTACTCTCAGCGGACAGAGGGCGTGTGTCCGCCAAGGCCCCCGAGTTGGCACACGTGCCGGCGGGTGCCGGCCACCATCCCACCGCCCCACACGGGGCGTCCACCCCGGGCGTCTCCCGCGTGTGTCGTCGCCACGCCTGGTCGTGTGTCTGTGACGCGGCATCTGTGCGGCCCACCTGGGGCCCGGGGTCCTGCCCAGTTGTTCTTGTGCTGACTCAGTGTCTGACAAAGTCAGGTGAAACCCAGGGCCGTGAACTGGCCTGGGCCGTGTTGTTCCTGTCGCGGAGGCGCGTGTACACGTTGCTTAGGAACTGAAATAAAGTCTAATTTTGGAAGCTCCTGTTTTGTGAAATGTGTGGAAGCGGCACTCGAGGGCTAGGGCAGGAGGTGCCCCCCGGGCCCAGCGAGGACACCTGCCAAGGGGAAGTGTGCTCGGAAGAGCGCCCCGGCCCTCACCTCCCTGTCCACACCCTCGGGCTCCCCGCCCTGGCACCTGGGAGGGGAGGAGGCAGGGTGAGCCCAGCGCCCGCACAAAAGGTGCTGGAGACCAGTGGCTCAGCTCTGCCCTGAAGGACAACAGTGAGCGCCTGGGGGGCGTGAAGGGAGGCTGGTGGGGCCGTGGGCTGGGCTCCCCACCCACCATGTCTGCACCCCCAGGAAGCATGGCTGCCTGCCCTGTGCTGGGTCTTGCTGCTCTCCTCTTCCTCTCAGCGCCCCAGGCCAGCTCCGTGGTGCAGTATCGACGGCTGGTAAGAGTGGCCATCAGACCAGCGGGTCTCACTAGCCTGACATGAGCTGGGGACTCCCAGAGCCACTGAGCCTGCCTCTCACCAGGGTCCTCTCTCCACAGGTGCCAGTGGTGCTTCTGGAACCCCAAGGTCTGGCTGGGGCGGGGGAGAGGGAGGGTCCCACCAGGTGGGCCCAAGCCGGACAGCCTCCCACCTGTCACCCACAGGTCCCCACCCAGCAGGTCTCACCCCCCATGAGGACCTGGCTGGGTCCCTGCCCAGAACAGCTTGGGGGGGGGGGGGGGGCAGGCAAGGACCAGGCCCCACGGTATTCCCTCCTAACGCCGGCTGGGCTTGGGGTAGCCCTCAGACCACTGCCAGGCCAGGAGGAGGAAGGTAAGGAAGCCAAGACTGACCTTCCAAGGGCAGCAGGTGAGGGCGTGAGGTGGTGTCCAGGGGCCTCGGGAAGAATCGAGGGTCTGGCCGAGGGCTGGGGGGCCAGCAAATTGGCAGAGCCCAAGGCACAGCCATTTCCGAAGAGGCCTGGGACAGGTATGGCCCAAGGTGAGGGGACTGTGGCCGCCCACCCACCAGGACCAAGGTCGTAAATCATCCGCCAGATTGTCACAGAGCGTCTGCAGGAGGAGGGTTCTGGTTCCGGTCACCGAGAGAGCATGGCCCCTCCCCAGGCCCTGAGCCTTTCTGGCCGTATCCCCCACAGGGAGGGACTGCTCTCATATCTGGTTGGAGAGCCCCACGGCCCGCAGTGGCGTGTACACCATCCAGCCAGAGGGAGTCAGCACCCCCTTCAAGGTGAGCAGCCTGCAGCAAGGGCCCCGGGGTAATGTGTGTGTCACTTGGACGAAAACAAGAGATGGCACTGTCCACCTAGCAGGAGAAGGGCCAGCCAGGCCAGGCGCTGCTGGTGGAGTCTGTCCTCAGACACACCCGGGGAACAGAGGTGTTCGTGGACGTTGTGTTACAGCCAGAAAAGGTTGGGAGAAACCTAGGCTCCCACCTCGAAGGGTGTGAACAAAGAAAGAGCCCAGGAGACAACATTAAGTGAAAAAACAAAGCCACAAAGCAGGGTGCAAAATGACATCAAACGGAGCAACCCTCCTGGGGGCCTGTGACCTCACTGCCAAGCTTGACCCCTTTTCTGAGAAAGTAAACTTAATGTGATGCAAATTTATATGACATTTGACAAGTAGAAAAAGTTTGTTTTCAAATGCAAAGTGTTTAAGGGAGGACGGGCAGGAGAGGGGCAGGCCTGCTTGCATCCACGGGCTGGCCCTTTCCCCAGGTTTTCTGTGACATGCGCATGGACGGTGGCTGGACGGTGATTCAGAGCCGAGACCGGGGCCGGCGGAGGCCTCTGGACTTTGAGAGGTGCTGGCAGGAGTACAAACAAGGCTTCGGAGACCTGAGAGGTAGGACTGCGTTGCCTGTGGGACACAGGGGCGTAGCCAGCACCCCAAGGCCCTGATCCCCACCGGGGACATAGGAGAGAGATGGCGGGAGGAGGCTAGGGGTGGTCCATCACACAGCAGCCTCTGCCCAGGTGCCCCACTCCTGCAGGTGACCACTGGCTGGGGCTGGAGCACATCTCTGGCCTGACCTCCCAGCCGGGCCTGCGCTCAGAGCTGACGGTGGATCTCCTGGGCCTGGACAACCACACACTTCAGGCCCACTATGAGCACTTCCACGTGGACAGGGAGGACCAGTTTTACCAGCTGACCCTTGGCCCGTACTCGGGGAATGCAGGTGAGTGCTGGGGAGGTAAGGGACCCCTGTGCCTGCCCCCAAGTGCCCTGTTTTGCCCCCTGGGCTCTCTAGGCTGTGGGAGGGGGACTCTTGCAGCAGGCCAGGGTGGGTGGGGGAGGTTGGGTCCCGGGAGCCCCCAACTTGCCGGCCCACATCTGCCAAGCTCTGAGCTCTGGGGAAGACTGTCCCTCCCCAAGCGCCTGCCCTTCTGGGGCCCCAGATGGCAAGGCGGCGAGCGGGGGCCTGAGGGGCAGCTGGCCTGCCGCCCACGCCACCACACTGCGCAGGGGACGCATTCCGGGGCGTGGGCCAGACGGACAACCAGGAGGGCTGTGGCTTCAGCACGCTGGACCGCGACCATGACCGCTGCTCGCCCTGCACGGATGGCGCCCAGACCTTCACCAGCTGCAGCCACGATCGCTCAGGAGCCGGTTGGTGGTACAGCGCCTGCGGCCACGCGGACCTCAACGGGCCATGGCCAGAGCACACGGGGGCCGCTTCCGGCATGCGCTGGGCCGCGGGCAACCACCAGCCCGCCTTGCGCGCCAGCGTGCTGCGCGTGCGCACCACTGCTTCCCTCAAGGCCTAGGCCCCTGCCCATCCGTGGCCGAGCCTCATTAAATGTTCAAGCCCGGCTGTCCGCTGCGTCTTCCTTGGGGCCAGGACGGGGGGGGGCCGAGCTCAGCTCCGACCCACCCTGGCTGCTCAGACCCCGCCCACCCGGGAGGCCTGTCCATCCAGGACAGGCCTGGGGAAACCCAGGAGGCTGTGCAGCGCAACGTTTAGGCCGGAAACAAGGTCACCAGGTCTGGGAAGGCACTACCCCTTGATGCTGACCTCCTGGAACCCTTGGCACCCACCAGATCCCCCACTGGCTGTGACCTCCGTGAGGGCAGGCCAGCAGGACACAGGGCCTGGTACTCTTGAGCCTTCAAGAGCCCAGGCCCACCAGATTCCAAGGTGTGGGTAAGACAGTGGGGTGAGGGGGTAAGGAGATGGGTCAGAAGGGCCTGGGACCTGGGGGAGGGGGGAGCGGTGACCGGAGGCTCAGGCCGGGCCCCCTAGGCAGTTAGGAAAGAGGCTGGCAGTAGGGGACTCTGATAGCAGGCCAAGCAGACAGGGCCCCAAGTGAGGCTCCGGTGGAAGGGGAGGGCAGGCTGCAGGAGGAGACGCTGGGGCTCGGAGCCCCTGCAGGGACCTAACCACGTTGTACTCCACACAGAAGGTCGTGTCCTTGTTCCTCTCAGGGATGGCGACCCTGAGCTGGAGAGGTTGAGGGGTTCCCCAGTGTCACAGCTGGCAGGGGCGGTTCTCATGAAGTCTGGGAAGCCCACATTGTGGCCCCAGGAGAAGGTTCCAGAAGAGGCTGCTGGAACTTAAGTGTAGAATCCATCCAGGAGGAAGCTGGGGTGTTTGTCTGGGGTCTCCCACGTAGCTCCTGGTCTTGGGCTTTAGTATGGGGCCAGGTGGGGGAGGGGGTTGGGAAGCCCTTCCAAGGACCTACTCCGTGCAGGCACCACAGGGGTCTTTTCCAGGCCCCTCTGAGCTGAACATCGGAGTTATTTATTCTGCAACAGTCATCGCGACTTCTCTGGGGCAGACGCTTTAAGGCCAGGCCCGGCGCTCCCTAACCTCCTGGACAATCTATGGGGAGTTTCTCTTGGCCAGGCGCTATTCTGGGAGAACTGGCACACACATCATCAAGACTCCGTGCCCTCCTAGAGCATGGGTGAGGAGAGAGACACGGAAGAAACAGGAAAATGAGGGAATGAGTTCGTTTCAGGGAAGTGCTATGCAAGGAAAACACAGGGTGCCTAGAGGCACTTTAGGAGAGGCATGGGCAGGGTGGGCACGGAAGCCAGGACACGTGAGGACTCCTGCCCCAAGCAGAGGCAGAGCAGGAGCAGAGGTGCTTCTGCACTGGGGAGGCGCCTGGCCGGAGCGCTGCCCAGTCTCAGCCTTGGCTTCGTCCCGGGTCTCTTCCTGGCCTATCCCCACGGACACTGACCCTCGACCCGAGCTGAAAAACCTCTTTCCCTTCTGCCCCGCTGCCCGGCGCAGCCGAGGACAATCCAGAGACGGGCCCTGGCACAGCACGGGGCCCGGGCTGACCCTGGCTTCACCCCGGAGTTGAGAGGCACCCCTGCTGGTCTACCAGGGACGTCACTGAGCACGGTCACCCCACTCGGAGCTCTCAGCCCCGACTGTCCGGTCTTTCCCGGGTCGGACCTCCGGGACCTGCTGGCTCGTTACGCAGGCCCGGTTCCCCCGCTCCCCGGTCCGCTTCAGCACTCGGCCAGCCGCAGGCCCGCGGAAGCGGACGGGTCGCGGGGGCACAAGTCCTCCTTCCCCGCCCGGGCTGCTGCGGGGCCGAACCGCAGGAGCGGACAGACGCACGGCGCGGCCAATCAGAGTCAGCCTTTCGCGGGCGCGGCCCGCGCAGGCGCACGAGCAGACACCACCGCAGGCGATTGGGCGACTGGGCACGCGTGCCGGGGCTTCCGGTCGGGGCAGAGGGGCTTCCGCCGCAGCGGCGCCGCGGATGGCCGCGTTCGGGGCTGCCGTGAGGGCCTTGCTCGCGGCCGCCCGTGCCCGGTCGCCGCCGCTGGGCCACCGTCCGCCGCGCGCGCCCTGCTCCGCCTCGGCCGCTGCCCGCGGCGCTGCCATGGAGCCGGCGCCCCGCTGGCTGGCGGGGCTGCGCTTCGACAACCGCGCCCTGCGCGCGCTGCCCGTGGAGACGCCGCCGCCCGGTCCCGAGGGCGCCCCGTCCTCGCCGAGGCCCGTGCCGGGGGCCTGCTTCAGCCGCGTGCGGCCCGCGCCGCTGCGCCAGCCGCGCCTCGTGGCGCTGTCGGAGCCCGCGCTGGCGCTGCTGGGCCTGGGCGCGCCGCCCGCCGACGCCGCCGCCCGCGAGGCGCGCGAGGCCGAGGCCGCGCTCTTCTTCAGCGGCAACGCGCTGCTGCCGGGCGCCGAGCCCGCCGCGCACTGCTACTGCGGCCACCAGTTTGGCCAGTTCGCGGGGCAGCTGGGCGACGGCGCCGCCATGTACCTGGGCGAGGTGTGCACGGCCGCCGGCGAGCGCTGGGAGCTGCAGCTCAAGGGAGCCGGCCCCACGCCCTTCTCCAGGTGGGCCCGGGCGGGTGGCTGGGGGCCGGAAGGGGCTGGCCCTCGGAGGGGCCCCGCACGCCCTCTCCGGTGTGTGGGGTGGGGGGCGTGCTCAGTCCCGCAGTTTCCCTTCCTAGCTGGGGGTGAGATGTAACGGGAAGTTTGATCTAGGGACAGAGACCGGGGGAGGGGGTCCCGATACCCTGGCGAAGGGAACAGCTTGTGCAAAGGCCCTGAGGTCAGAGGGAGAGGGCCGAAGGAGGGGCTGTGGCTGCAGAGCCTCCGCCCCTGCTGCAGTGCTGCTGCCAAGTGCCCTTGTCCCCTCTGACCGGCTCGGGGAGGGATCCCGCTGCACTCCCCCCCTGGTCCCGCAGCACTAGCAGCTGCTCCGTCCCGTTCCCATAAACAACACAAGGACTTTGGAATCAGTCCTGCGTGTGACACTGGTGTTTACCGCTTGCCCAGCCTAGCCACCGGTGCTCGCGGGAGGCAGGGTGATTTGTCCTCTCCAGCGTAGCATCTGTGTGTCCACCCACAGAGGCCCAGTGTGTGGCCGGTGCCCTGGACAGGGACAAGACCCCCCTCAGATCCGATGCCCCCCGTGGTCATTCTCCCAGGCACAGGCGTCTGAGCACTTGTGGGCCAGGACCTGGGTCCAGATCCGGACAGCCTGACCCAGCCGGCAGGGGGCTCTCAGAGCTGTCCTGCCTCTTACATACGAACAGTGCTGATCGTCCGTTCTGCTCTTTTCCACTAAACAGCGGGTGCATTTAGTCCGTATTTGTTAAATGCTTGTTGAATGGCTAAAAAAGTTACACCTGAGTTGTCATTTTCTGTTCAAAGAAATCCTGAGGGCATGTGTCTTCTCTGGCCACTTCCCTGTGCCCTCCCCTCCTCTCCCTCCAGGATCTGACGCATCCTGCACCCCCTGCCTGCCTCCCAGCAGCTCCATCTCTGACCCCCAGAATAACTCGTTCTTCCTCATCACCCAGTCTCCAGGCCTTTCTGTCTCTGGAAGTCTCCTGAATTCAGCCTAGCACCACTGCCGCGCCCCACCAACAGCCTGCTCAGAGTTGTCTGCACCAGTGACTAATGGGAGAGTTCTGCCCCTTGAAATGATATGTAAATGCTTCTCACCTTGGGGCCTGCTCATTCTTTGAGCATCTTTAAATTTTATATATTCAGTTGGGTAATTTATTCTTGCCAGTCATAAAGACAAACCTTTTTGTGAGAGTAATCTGCTATGGGATATCTATTCTATTTGAAGACTTGAGTGTTAAGTTCCATGTTTCTAGACTTGAGGTCTGCTAGAAAATTTTTCTTTAAAATAGAGGGGTCATGGGGCGCCTGGGTGGCTCAGTCGGTTAAGCGACTGCCCTTGGCTCAGGTCATGATCCTGGAGTCCCAGGATCGAGTCCCGCATCGGGCTCCCTGCTCAGCAAGGAGCCTGCTTCTCTCCCCCCTGTCATGTACTATCTCTCTCTCTCTCATTCTCACTCTCTCAAAATAAATAAATAAATCTTTAAAAATAAATAAAATAAAGGGGTCATTTAACCTTTACTCAGGTTAGCACCCACCCCCCAACATGTCCTAGGTTCCCCAGCCTCAGCATGACTTGAGGCTTAACATCCAAAGTGGCTTTGTGTGGCTTAAGGCCAACTCCTGGCTGGGGTAGTACCCAGATGTGGGCTTTGGGTGGTGGGCAGGTGACTTCTCGCCCATGCCTCCTGCCTGCCGAGGGGGTTGAGATTTCAGGACATGCCTCTCCTGGCAGGTACGAAAGAGCTTGTCCTCAGCTGGGTCCATCCCAGCAGCTCGGCTGGGAACAGACATGGGTGTGCTGGAGACGGGACTGTGTCGTGGGTCCTGTTGGCTCTGTGGGTGCAGAGAGGCCCTTTATCCTTGCTGTGTAATTGTCCAATTCTAGCTTTTGCTTTGGGAACCTTGCCTTGGGCAAGAAGGACAGGCTGCTGATTTTCAGGACCATTTTTACCAGATTCAAGATTAAATTGAGCTGTGCTGGCTTCCTGCTGAACATGAAATCTAGCTGGGTAAGAGGTGATTCTCAGGACCAGGGAGGGGTGGATTGACATTTGAGGACAGGTTTCCTTGTCACAGTTCCTCTCGTGGACTAGAAGGAGGTGAGTGGATTGCAGCTGTCACACTGGCCAGAGGCTGACGCAGTGGCCCTGGGGTGACTGCCAGGTCTGGTTTCCAGAGGGATGAGACATACTCAGGCAAGGCGAGGCCGGAGACCTAGATGTGTCTCCACACAATGGGGGCTTGCAGAACCCCGAGCACCATGACCACCACATCAGGGCATGCAGCACATATACAGTAATAGCATTTGATGAAATTGAGCTCCCATTCATGGTAAAAACTCAGTAAACTAGGAAGAGAGGAACTTCCTCAAATTGATAAAGAATATCTCCAGAAAACCTACAGCTAACTTCTACTTAGTGATGAGAGCCTGGAAGCCCTCCCACTGAGATCGGAAACAAAGTAAAGATGTTTCCCCCACCATTGCCTTTCAA